ACTTGGGCGGGGACAGTACCATATGCCGCGAGCTGGATCCCCTTCAGAGTTGAACTTCTGTTGAATATAGTGAGCAAGATCCAGGTAAACCGCATCCACCGGTTTATCCCAAGCTAAAGCACTGATCACTCGTAATAGCATACTTACATGAGGTCGTAACCAGCTTGCTACTGGGACCAAGGCAGTCAACTTACCACACCAACCAGCCAGTTCTCTTTTGGTAACCACCTCATCTCCATCAAGATTGATCTCTAGAGACAGATCCTCTCTACGAGCCCATGATATCTCACCACCATCGTTATGGAGACTCAGCCCAAGCACACGACTGTTATTAGCCCCAATGATAATCGTGGGCTTGCAATACATACGCCCATTACCCAATGCGTCTCGAACAGCCGTCACACATGGTGGATCTTCGAGAAGCTGTCCATTTTGATTCACAGCGATAACCACATTAGGGTCAGACTCCTCGATGACCACATCGTCGAGGTATGATGAAATTGGGTAGGGGACTTTCATCAGCAACCATCTGATGGCCGACGTGGCTACCTTCGGCGCAATACATACTCCGAATCCCATAACCACCATGGTGAAGATCTCACCGTTAATCATGACACACAGATATGGCCACAGACTCTCACACATGCGTATACAATAATAGCATTTAATGACATCGAGAGTATAACCACGCCGAACCGAACGCCACTGATGTAAGGTATCAACACAGTTTACGATGTCCCGTACTGGCTCACTCACCAGGTGCTTATTGAGAGCTCTAAAATCTAAGCACATACGGAGTGGAGTAGAAGGCTTATGGGGTTGAGCCACTAGTACCCATGGGAGAATATTACGAACCCTGCCAGCATAAGGTTTCACCCAGCCGTTAGTTATTAACTTATCAGTCTCAGCACGCAAGTTAAGCTCCTCTTGTGCGGTGAGTTTCGGGTTGTAGTCACCTCTGTTAGCCTTGTAGAACGTACCAGGAGGGTCACCTCCACGCCATATCCATCGGCAAGTAAACTGTGGTTCATCGGAACGTTTAGAGAGTACAAAGTCGATGCTGATAATCTCAACGGTGCCATTTGGGTATTCTAGCACGCGTACTCCTGGAATGTCTGGCAAGTTGTACGCCTGTACATCTTCGTCGATGCCACGAGCAGCGGCAGCAGTGACCGCTATGCGGCCACCTTCATCCCAGGTCATACCCTGGCAGTAGAGAGACGCAAAATCAGCTCCCAGTACTAGAGACCCAAATACCATTTTATCAACAACATAACAAGTATGAACCACCTTAACCCATCCATCTTTAGCTAGATACATAACCGGAAGATCCACCTGACCTGTTGTCGTTAGGACACCAACCGCATCCATCATTTTGAGCCGTACAGGGGAAACCTCGTGATGAACTGTAAGACCCAAAGATGAAACAAACTTGGATGATACTAATGAATAGTCAGCCCCTGTGTCAACATCAACGGCATGTTCATGACCGTTGAACTTACAGAGTAAGTGTGGGCGTTTTACATATGCAGAACAACCCCGCCCATCGGCTGCTCTGCCTGCACAAAATCCTTCTCAATAGCAGCACCGGCCTTGCTCTGTTTGTTTTTGCAATCCCTTGCAATGTGACCATACTTTTGACAAGCATAGCATCGGGGTCCTTTGCCCTTTCCCTTGCCTTTGGGCTTCGAGGTAGGACGTGTCGCTCCGCGCTCTCGACACTCTGCAGCAATATGGCCGGTTGCCTTACAGATATAACAGTATTGACCACCAGTGACAGCACCCGCAGCAAGCTTCTTCTCACCAGAGTAAGTCTTCAGCTGAGCTCGAGCCTTAGCAACAACATCAGCCAAAGGCAACTGGCGCCCATCCTCCTCGAACACCCGGATGGCCTTCTGCACGTCTTCGGGCAGGGTGGCAATCAGGCTTTCACGAAGGATGTTCTCAGCAGCCACTGTGGTAGTAACCCCTAGCACTCTAAGGTAGCGGCGGAATTCAGCTAATACACCATCAACACTATCTTCCTTGTGCCACTCACGGCGAGTCAGACGCTTCCACGCCTCGTGAGTTTTGAGCGAGTACGCTCTATCCAGGGCCCTAACCACATGAGCATAGGCACCAGCTGGATCGCCCTCAACTTCCTCCAGGGCTTGCCTAGCGATCTCTTTGGCCGAGCCCTTCATAAAAAGTACGATATATTGTGACTTTTGCTTAATAGTCCACTTAGAAGCCTCGGCCACCGTCTCGAACTCCTGCAGCCAAAGAGCGAAGTCGTTTTCACCACCAGAATAGGGTTCCAATACAGATTCGAGCTTGAACGGCATGTTGGTCCTGGGTCTGGGCACCAGATGTAGCAATGTGTGTACCGTCAAGCTCACTAGCAACGCTAGTCCACTTAGAGTGGGGTATAACATATGTACCACCTGTGCGTGCGTGCAATACCGAACAGCTATGGATAATCGATCAGTACTGCGCAAGATACTGTGCGCACACGACTACGCACAACAAAGGGTACTTAAGAATCACAAACTGTGGCAAACCACTCTATCAGAGCATTATTTAAGAGGAGTTTTAGCATCCGATTTCGACGAAGGTGCTTTCTTCATGCAATTCCTGCGGAGAAACTTTCAAATTTGATATGCCTATTCTCATCCTCGACTTTCAGAGCCCCCCATACCACTAGATGACGTATTGGAAAAGTACTTCCGCCTCCATCTAGTAATCTCAACTGAAAGAGGATTCCCGAAGATCACATGCACCTGCAAAGATTCCCGAGATTGGGGATGCTGCGCTCATGGATACGCGGTCGAAATTCTCAGGGGGGCTAAGCAGAGGTATAAAAAAGACGTATGATATGGGTATAGGTCAATGTCTGATCGTGATTATGATGTTCGTCTTACGGCGGAATGCGAACATGGCAGCTACGCAAGTGTTGACGCAGATATTTTCCGGAGCATCAACAGCTACGGAGAGCGAATCGTGGCCGTAGGCCTCGAAACCGCGGCCCTATAACCATACTGATAAACTGATCGCTCGATAGTCGTGAACTTTGTGTAATTTGTCTCATTAGCCAGAGTGTCTCATAGTTGTTACTCATTGAAGTGGTTGAATCGTTGTCAGCGACAATAATTGTCATACTTTTTGTCACCTCTGTTGAAGGTTATTGTACTTTTTCTGCTGGCTTATCTTGCTAATGTATTACGGTTATGATATCAATGATTTAGATGAGTTAGATTATAGTGGGGCTATGGATACCAACGACTTCGTGGGGACTGACCTTGGTTCTATCCAGGGAAATGACTTCCCTCCCTCCACAGATAGCTTTCAATACCGAGGAATGAAGGCGTGATGAGAGCGCTGAGCAGTAACCCAAGCAAGTGTCGGAGTTATTGAGATGGCCAGAGTTGTTGTTTTTCCAGGCACTCATCAACAAGGCAGCTCTCACGACGATGTCTTCTCGATAGCAAGCGTCTCAAATTACACTAGCAACTCAAAAACGAGCGATTTAGGGAATAACAGTGACTCGGCAGCGAACGATTGGTCCTCAGATGCAGAATCTGTGGAGAGCTCATCAACTACACACAACGCTCGCTCCGCGTCAGACGTGAGAAAGGTGTCTCAAATCCATAGATTTCATGTTGTAAAATCCCACGAATACGGGTATGCGGGAGGAAAACCTAAACATGAAACCCGAACACGAGCCTTGTGACTCTGTGGCGAGTTAGTTTCGGTTTTCCATGTCATAGCGCCAGTGAGTTATAGGCCGCTGTAGGTCTTGGATGGTCAAACTAGCAGATAATACTCACTTGTGTGACCATAGTTTGTGAATGTAGGGCCCTTCGCCGCCTAATCGTCGGCGACCCATGATGTCAAATAAAATGGGTTAAAACGATCGACATCATGTTGGATAGTCTATCTAACCGTCCAATCGGGCCATTTATGGTCATCAAGTGAAAAGCCTGTACTAGTAGTACAGTACTACAGGCGTTCTGGTAGTATACCATCCATACGTCACTGGCGTTTTGACATCGCCGTACTCAGGGTTGGTAGTGGGTGGGTTAGAATTTCAGAATTCCCTTGTAGACCGATACCCACGGTCATGTTCGCAAGTAGCTCAGCTCTCATTAAGAGCCGTACTACTATTGCGAACTACTATTCTATACTAGAACTTCTATTATAGTGATCGCTTTCTTATTCATGATTCGCTAAGGAGCTTCAGCGTTACACATTTGTGTCCCAATCTTTAGAGTGCGTTGTGTTGGTATGGGCGTGCGCGTGGTGATACCTCCTTCCTGGGATTTCACAGGCACTACATTCGTTAACTCATTCCGTTAATCAGAATCGTCTCGTCTCGAGCACAGCGGAGCGAAGCGTTCCACGATGTGCATCAGTGGTGAAAAGATTTAAATTCGACGCGGGATATACGTGCAGTATATCCCGAGTAACCCCTGAGTAACTGCACCCAACAATCACTAGTAGTGATGTTGGGAGCCGTTCTGGGCCTCCATGTCAATGTTCTCAATGTCACGAGAAGATACACTCATCCCACTAGATTAACACAACCAATCGATAATACCAATTAATACTAATGGATAGGTAATAATCAACCCACCAAGCCTTGGGTTGCAACGATAGTACTTCACGTAAGGATGGTCCAACCAGTAAGGACCACAAACCAATAAAAGAACTCTTAATCTTATCTACACTTCACATACAAGCTCTAGCTTACTTAGCTTGAATGTCTACGATCACACAGAGCAAACACTACCGCGCACGCCCTAAAATCAAGTGCTCAGTTTGCTCACAACACACCCCGCAACGGCAATGTAATTGTGTACAGACCCACCTACGAGTGTACTTAAACAGTAAGTTACTCAATTACAGTGGCGGAAGTACAATAACATTAATAGAGGTAACAATTCTACTTACGAGTCTGATCATGGTGGGGCTCATGACACCAACTATCCAGACAAAAGTACTTAAACCTCACACAGCAAAGTTTACCAACGACTGCCAGAGCTACCACTCGAGTAGCGCTTATTCCAACCATCATCACCCTTCTTATGCCAACCGTCATCAGAGCCATAGCTTTTACTCCAGCTCTTCTTATAGGGACGTCCACGATAGTCTTCACGTACCCAATGACGAGAGCCACGGTCTTGGAGAACCTCCTCAACCATCGTAGTCAAACGACTCAAATTGGACTTGATCTCATCGATCTGACTTTGAATATCACCCACCTTGTCCTGGGTGTCGCCGGTCTGAGCATCTTTTCCACTTTCAGTACTCATAGGAGTATCACTTCTCTGGGATAAATCCACGAGCTTACTGAAGAAGTTGTTCGACTTGCTTGGTGACATAGGCGGTGTTCCTTTATCCGGCCTAACCACCAACGGGGAGATACTACCAATATCCAAGGCTTCATAACCAATGGGGTCCTCAGTTGACGGAGAGAACTCTTGCAGATCCACAGTTGCAACACCACAGACCCTACCCACAATCTCATTCAACGCCTTAAAGACAGGCTCCTTAACCAGTCTTAGCGTCAAGGCCGTATAACCGAGACCCAGATCCGAGCACTTTTTCCAAGTTGACATCCACGTAGGGTTTTTAGACACATTCTTGTTACTAATCAAGGGTGGTCTACCCTCCAAATAACAAAACCTTGGATCAGTCCTCGAACCCACATAGTTAACCTCATAAAAGGCACGCTTAATATAGTAGGAGTGCTGAGTTTCCTTCTTACTGCCAAACCCACCAGACCAATGAGCCGATAGTTGCCAATCACTGGCGGGTGTCTTGGTAGAATCAATACACACCAAACACCTTAAATGCTTAGAGGCAGGCATATACTTGCCTTCACTCAGCGGACCTTCTCTATCGCACTTATTAGTAGCCAACTTACTCCCTTGAGAGTTCCATGTTTCATAGGCCAGCTCATAAGTCCACCTAGCCCCTTCAACCATAGCCTGGGTAATACCCAGGAACGACAGACCATAGATTTTCAGCATGTACTCCTTGTAAGTGTGCTCCTCAGTGTCACAGTGATTCACCCATTCCTCGCCATCACTCTCTTGACCAATCCACGTGGTGGCTAACTGTGAACCATCTTTCTTAACCTTGACCCACGGAGCACATAACCAACATTGTCGTAAGCACACACCTCTACACCCACCAAGGAAGGCCTCAATACCTTCAGACATAGTGAGTTTCCAGCACATGCATATGGCCATAATGCACCCAACCACTGCAGGTTCCACCAAGAGGGAGCTGACCTCATGGTTAACACCGTCTTGGCCCACCGAGATTGAGCTGGTCGTGCCATCAAGACCCTTGCGACGAAGCTGTTGTACACAGGCCGGGAGATAGGTCTCGCCTTCCACCTTGAACTTGTCGTTGATGACTTGGGCGTTGCATTGATTATCATTGACCTCATTCATAAAGTCACAACCAAACAGAGTCTTAATCTTCTCCTTGCCACCCACCGTGTCCTCAAAGTAGTAGCTGTAGTGCTCATGCAGAGTAACCCACCCACCATTAATGGCTTCAATAATAGTGGCCTCGAATAGCTTAATAATACTCTCCTTAGACCTTCTAGGGTTGAGGCTAGTAGGATTACCCTTCTTGG